GGTGATGTGAGAGCCTGGTCCGGTGAGAACCCGGCGTGCTCCGTCCCGGCTTTGTAGGGATGCGAGGTCAATGGTCCAACGACTACGGCATGCACGACTATGAGTATGAGCACACCCATTTCTTCCCCTGCCTTTTTTTTTTTTGCCTCGGGACGGCCAGTCTTGCGCTCAAGAGATGCTGGTCGAGTACTCGACGGCATGCCGGGAGACCTTGGCGCTACCGACGGTCATGGGGGTCAAGTCACCGAAGGAGAGGTGGGGACTGACGTCCGATCTCAAGCGTATAACCGCCGTAGTAGTTGGGCGATCTCGATGATCGTCTTTTTTCTTTGGCATGCGGGCAGGAGGTGCCTACAATTCTTGCTGGAACAGAATCGCCGGGAAATAAATGTGATCGACAACTTGTTGTCGCTCTTGCTGTGCGAAAAACGGTAAACATTATGTGGCGAGACGAGAGATGTTTGTGTTTTCTACGTGAACAGGTCGAAGCCTTACTGTAGCGATGACCGATCTGTTGGGCGTAGTTTCGCTACGGAAATCATGACAAAACTGCTCCGTAGACGACAATGATTACAATGATGGTTGGCTTCCCTGCCCCTTAACAACCATGGGGGCGACTGAGCCACAAAAATAAATTGTTTCCGAAGCGCACGATGCTGCCACCCGATAGCCGGGGCGTAAAGCTACCAGTATTTTCCAAGCGCAAAACCCAGCAGTGCAACGGTGTACGAACAAGCGCGGTACACAATGTACCGTGAGTTCTTCTTTTCTCCTCCCCCCTTTCCCCCCCCCCCCGGTGTTTGCCATCGGGGTTGGGTTTTCGTCGCTTGGCAACGACGTTGTAAAACAAGCTGCCCCGCCCGGTGTTTGCCATCGGGATCGGGTTTTCGTCGCTATGCAACGACGTTGTAAAACAAGCCAATTCACTTCGTGAACTCGGCAACCAGGTTACCGTTTTTTTTTTTACCTCCGTTGTTTTTTTTGGCGGTAACCATAATGGTGGTCGAGTAGATTACGTTGTGCGGGGTGGAGA